TGGTTTAATGGGTACACAAAACTTAAAATTACTGTTTAGACAATACTGAAATACAGTTTATTCGGAAACTGCCCCACAGAGCTCTGCAACGCGTACTCTCTATCAGAACTGTTGTTGGGGGGAAGTTGAGGGGCTTTGTTTCTTTTTTTAAAGTTTAAGACTTCTGGGACTTTGTCATATGAACAGAAATTTTTCTGAACTGAAGGAAATTAATTTTGCACTTAACCTTGTCTCTGCAAAGTTGGGGACTCAAGACAAACAATGTCTGTCTATAATCTCTAATAACAATCTTAATGATGATGTTTATGTTATACAGCAGGAAAAGTGTATTATAAGTGAATTCTCGGATAAAGCCATTAAAAAAGAAAGCTCAGAGTGCTGAGAGAGAAGCAGTTTGCTCTCTGTTGCCAGCACTGTTTGCTCTGTATGTTGCCAGCACCATGATCTATGCATTTAAGACTTCTGGGACTTTGTCATATGAACAGAAATTTTTCTGAACTGAAGGAAATTAATTTTGCACTTAACCTTGTCTCTGCAAAGTTGGGGACTCAAGACAAACAATGTCTGTCTATAATCTCTAATAACAATCTTAATGATGATGTTTATGTTATACAGCAGGAAAAGTGTATTATAAGTGAATTCTCGGATAAAGCCATTAAAAAAGAAAGCTCAGAGTGCTGAGAGAGAAGCAGTTTGCTCTCTGTTTTCTGTATGTTGCCAGCACCATGATCTATGCAAGAACTGCCACCAAAGGGACTATCTTTCCTGCCTTGTTTTTAACTCGGGAGAGTTGCCCAATCCCACCTGCTCTATGACCTGAGCACTGATGTTCGTACGCACGAGGGTCTTTTCAAGTCTCCATTTAAAAAGAACACTGCTCGCACAGTTTCTTCTACAACTTGCAAAAAACTTCTGCCAACAACAAAAACACCTCCCCCCCCGCCAAAAAAAAGCCAACACAAAGCCTTTAGAGCAGATATGAAAGGAGAAACAGACCTAAAAAGTCACTTGACCAGATGTTCCTCATCATGAGGGTAACTTGCCATACCATGCTGAAGACTACTAATGGCCAACTGGATGGAAGAATTCACTGAAGACCCGAGATTTGACACTCATAATGACATTAATCAGCTCTCAAATTATAATCTTCCCAATTTTTAAAGAAAGTTCACACATTTTCATTACAGATTTTAAAACATCAATGATTTTTTTGTTGTTAAAAAGGACAAGCACAGCAAGATGTATATTAATCTCTTGTTTTCCAGACATTGAAAGTGCAAGTATTTTGAGGGTAACCTATCCCACCAGTGAATCTACAACATAAGAAGAGATCTTTCGCTTTGTTTCCCGTGATTTTCAACAGCAATGAGTAAGGACGTGAAAGAAAGGCGTGTTACCTGAACCTTAACGTATACCTCCAAAAACTTTTGTCTGAACCAGAGTACTGTGTTAGTAGAAGCATTCTGTCCCAACGTAAGAATTTGAGCAAGAAGCCAGCATCTACCTTTAACAACCTGTTCCAAGAGACAGCTTCAGGGACTGTTACAATTATACCTCAATTCTCCACTTGAGCTTGATCAGCACTACTGCTCCCTTTTGCAATAAGCCACCCGACTGAAGTTATTCCTCCCCCCAGTGTTATATTTTTCTCACAGATGATTAAAACAAGCAGCCTTCTAACCTCTTTAAAAGGTTAAGACAACAGAAAACCATCTGTCATGATGGAGCACATGCTGGTTTTGGATGAAGCTGTTTTGATTTCCATGGCTTCTGTAGCCTTTAGTAGCTGACTCCACTATGTATGCTCCATCATAACACCAAGAGAGATGACATAAATCATATTGGTTTTATTTGATAGGACTTTTATGGGTATATCCAGCACTTACCCTAGCTTTCCTGACAGCACTGTTGTGTCACAATCTTAAGTGTAACTGGTTATCCATAATACACCATATGTCCCTTTCAGGGTCACTGAACAACAGGATAAAGCTTTCTGATAAATATTTGCCCTCTTTATTCCCAAAATAATAGCTTTACCTTTGGAAGTGCCAAAAAGGATATTTGTTTTTGCTCGGCTTACGTAGCACCAGGGATTATTGTACTGTAACTTGTCCTTAACCTTCAGTCAATAATAGAGACACGAGATGTGAATTACCCACCACACACAGACCCTGCACTGTCACAGCCTGCACAGGTATTAGGAGTAGGTCAGTGTTTCTACAGGGAGGGCTGGAGAAACAAGGGAAAGAGCACTAAATTTACACCTTTTTAAAGCCAGTTTTGCACCCAATTCAAAATTCCAGGGTCAACCTTTAAAGTCATCTTTACATTAAGACATTACAGTAAGTGCACAAGTACACTCTTACTTTCAGTTAGCAAATTAAGAAGCATAATAAAACATATTATGCCCAAGAAGGTAATTTTGCCTAAACAGTAAAGCCAGTGCTGAAGCAATATGCCACAGAACTTGCAGAAGTTGTTTGATCCAGTGGAATATCACCCATGAAAAAATACCATAGAATTCACACAAAGGAGTCTTGTGACTGTTTTAACAGGAGGGAGGAATGAACACCTGCAAACACACAAGTCTCACCAGTTTTACAGACACACTAACAGCACGTTGTGTCTGGCTTGGCATCACGGCTGTAAATGAATGGAAAATGAATAAAGAGCACAAGCAGTCAAGAGAACAGAGATCATATCCTAGAAATGTCTGCTGTTTTATCCATCCTTGAATTAATGTTAAAAGCAACATTAACAACTCAGCGAGACACTTAATTAATGCATTACTATGGTAATCAATTTATTACCAGGGTCTTGCCTCAAGAAACTACTCCTGACTCTTCACACAGAGCACACGGGCAATAAATAGAAGTGGGATTGGAACTCCTCACAGAACAAGGGTAAAAGCTGTAGAGTTAACTATGGCACTGAAATAAAAGAACAGAAGCTTCAGCTAGCTAAAAAGCACTAGAACAAAGCTTCACTATAGTATCAAGGCCACTAAAGGGGAAAAAAAAATAAAATAGTGGGCTCCATTCTGCATGGTACCAGCTGGCATTATTTCAGTTCATTTCAAAAAAGATCATTTGTCTTTTCGTAAAATGTAAGACATTGTACTGCAGAATGTCCAAGCAGCTACACAATATTTTTATTCTGTTGTAAGAACTATCTGCAACTACGAAGATGGGAAAAAAATAAATTACTGCATCAGAAAGCTTTGCATGCATAAATGGAAAACTATACTAATGCTCTGGACACGTTTGAAATGTATTAACTTGAAAGTCTAACATATCATCCGGTTTTGGAATCTGCTTTGGCACAGAAAACAGTTCAGGTACAAACACTGAAAAACAGCTATTCACCTGGCAGAAGTATGATGCTAAAGAGCATTTGCTAAAAAAATCACTAAATATTACAGCCAATTTGGAGTGTGTAGCCCTGTTTTTAGGGCATCGAACATAATACTTCATGGCTACGTGGCTACATTCTTTATTAGGTTGGAAAAGATGAATCACAAGAAAAGTTATATTAAGCTAGTAAAAAAGGGGGAGGGAGTGCTAATTATTTTTCTTCATGGAAAATACAGAGAAAGTGCCATGCTAAATTTAGGGAAAAATAAAGTTATATTTTAAGGCTATCATAAGCAAGTGGAAGAGGAATTTAATTTTCTGTTTCCAGTCCAGAAATGGACTTTGTTGCTTATCATGAATTTCCTCAACCAACCTAATTAAGACATCATGTTGCTAGCTTTATCACCCTCTATGCTCCTGTATAAAGAACCTCATTATGAGGTCATGATGCTCAGTGTTGGGCTATACCTAAACCAAACCAGTAGTTTGGCAAATTATCAATAAAAGCAACAAACACATAAGAACTTTATCCAGAGTCTTCTGCTTGCTGTATGACAGAAGCCGTGACTTCTAACAGGAGATACTGAGCAAGGTACTTGGTCACGATTAATATGCAGACATTTGACAGCCAAGTGAGTAAAAGGCAGAAGCATTTGACTCACGTTATGACTCCAGTGAATTAAAACCATACTGCCACAGCACCAGAGTTACAGGTCAGAACCGACTGACCCACTAATTCCAGACTCAAATTTATAACATCTGCTTGGCTGCGGCACCTCTTTCACAAAGACATCTGCTATTCACTCAAGGGACGCAGGGCTTTCCAGTGATCTTCAGTATCTTTCAAAAAGGGCTTTTCAATGAGTAATTAATTACAAGCAGCTTTTAATTCAGCAAATACACACTGGTGCTGGGGAAACTAATTTAGACTGCCAACTCTCTTGAAAAGACCTGGAAATTGCTGCAAGAAGAAACATCCTCTGAAGACTTTTCTGTCTCCTGGCACATAGGAACTAGCACCAGGTGTCCTGACCAGCATAAACACTAAAAACAAACCCAATATGAAGTCCTTAAAAATCTGCCAGATTTTGGAACGCCATCTGCCACTTAATCAGCAGTCATTCCTCCCCTTGCCGTACAAGCAGACACACACATCACCACACTCAGATAGTTCCAACTTCTTATTCAAGTGACACAGAGACAGCTGACACCAAAAGGGGACCTAACACCAACCTTCCAGAAAAACCTGTTATTCTGCATGAGTCTTCTATATTTTTTTTTTCTCTTTAAAGCCACAACACATGAGCTTTAATCATTACTTACCTCGCTGTGATTAAATAGCAAAAACTACATCCCAGCTTCATTATTTTTTTGTCACAGTTAAAAACCTCCTCTGGCTTTGCTGGCAACAGAGAGTGACTGATAGCACGGGCTGCATTCTAAAAGCTGGGGAGCCAGAAGGCAGTAAGTAGGAAAAAAGCCCCAAGACTTCTCTCCGTATCTCTTGAAACTGGAATCAGTGATGGTTTACAGAATTATCTGTTGCAAAACTGTTCTTACAAGAAAAAAAACATTATACTAATGTAATGTATAAACGTAAAGTAAGTTACACCACAGAAAATGTAAAAATGCATTCAGAAAACTCACCAGAACCCAAAGAAGATAGGCTTTGGCGTCCATTTCTTCCAGGAGTACCTACGATGTTCAGAAAAAGAAGAAAAAAAAAAAAAAAGAAGGAGAATTACACTTCAAGCCAGTAAGGGGCAGCAGGGATGTCTTTTTATAGATTCTTTCTATATAAGCTCCTCAAACTTCACAACTTCATTTTCTTTCTTGTGATGGCTGATGGCACAGCCAGCTAACTCTCAGCCAGCAAGAGTTAGAATTATAAGGTTAAACTATTTGGAAAAATCATAATGAATTCCCAATAATCCAAACATTTTTATTTTTTTTTTAATTACAATTATCATACTTCATTTAAGCCAGGTCTCTCTGTTTAGTTTACTCAGTCATAGAGGACCACAGACAATAAAACCCAATCGTCTGTACTGGCATCATAGTAATTTTTTTCCACCTGTATACTCTAGTTATTCATCTAAAAGGAAATATAAATTAAAAGCACCCTCAAATGTGCTAGCAATTAAGTTAGATATAAATGAAAGTATTGAGAAGGTTAATCTACCCTAATTTTTTTTAGATTCATATGAAAACTGACCTAAGAACCTCATTATTTTGAAGGATATTAATTAAATGAAAGCACTCTTTTGGACCGCTAAGTGTTAAGTGTGAAAGTCACGTGGAGAAGTTTATAAAAAGTCTGTTGACAACATCTATCAGCTTTCTTCAGGCTTCACAAATAGTGCGTGATCCAATGGCAGGTATTTCAATAGGAAACAATTTGCTTGTCCCTCACCTCAGCCGTGCAAATGGAACTTTGCTCCCAAAGGGAGAACTTCGTCTTACAGAGCTCGCCTGAGGATTCCTATCTATTCTATTGATTCACTCTAGTAAAAATTACTAATTTCAATTAAAAGTTAAAGGTAAAACAAGCATCTGATACAGAAACATTAAGTGGAGTAAATATTACCCTCAACAGCCAAAGTTGGTCAGCACACGCTCACAAGAATGTTGCTTAATTTAAACACAAACTTGGGAAATCTAGTCTGGGTTGTGCCTTGCAAGCATACCATCTTATAAGCAGGTGACAGAACATCATTTTACAGATATTATCAAGTATTCCGAGTCCTCATGGGAGGCAAGTTTCAAGCAGATAGCAGAGAGTGAATGCCCTGATTTTTCCCTCCCAGATAAATACCTCAGGAACACTTTGCAGTGCCAGTCTCCGATACTAAGAACTACAAGGAAAAAGAGCAGACTGACCGCCTCAGTTACTCTGAAGTCATAGAGCAGCTGTGCCCTTTCTCAAGATAGAGAAATTCAAGAAAATAAGTGAAAAATTGACTTTCCCCAACAGCTGATTACCTCTGGCCTCACTGACTCTCCTTGCCGAGTGCAGTGGCCCGCATGACTTTGGTATGCACTGGTTCAGTAAAGCAGACTTGGCCTTGGCTCCTAGAAGTAGAAGCTTAGATTAGTTTTTAAAGTACAACTATGGCAGCAATTAATGACATGCCTAATGTTACATATCTACAGTTAAGATGCACAAATCTACTCAAACACAAAAAGAGACACCTAGAAAATTTAAGCTATATTTAAAGTTAACTTCGCTTTACCAGAACTCTCACCGGAAGAAATAAAAAGGTAGTTTTAATAAAGCAGAAGAAAACATTGCTAAAGATTTCACTTTCGCACTAAGATCGAATTACTTAATCTCCAAATGGTAGCAAACCCAGCTATGGAAACACTGGCTGAAAGGGACCACCAAGGTGCAATCAGTTGACCGTGCTTCTGTCTAGCCAAGCCTCACAGATCTCCAGGAAGGGAGGCTCTATGGCCCTGCTGGGCAATGCTCCATCTCCCACTCCACAATGGGCAACCATTTCCCATTGCCACATCATCTGAGAAGACTTTGGCACCATCACCTTCATAGCCGTGTTCTTCACGTTACTGCAGGCTGTTACTTATCTCCCCTCACTTTCCTTTTTGCCTGACTACACAACCTCAACTCCCTCGACCTCTCCTCACGGGTCACATGGTCAGAGACCATGACCATCTTTCCTAAGTCTCCAGTTGACCTTTCCAGTTTCAAAACAACCCTCTTGAACTGGGAAGGCCCCAAAACACAACAGAGTAGCCCAAGTAACACTGAGCTGAGGAGGAATATCAGCTTCTTCTGGCCACATGGTTCCTGCAGACACCAAGGCACACTTCTAGCACCCAGGTCACTGAAGATGTTGAGCAATGCATAGCTGTGTCGCATATGATGGACCCCAACAGAAAGCATCAGCTTGTCAGACAGATGTATAATTTGTGTTTGTTTCCAAGTGATTTACAGTTTGTGGCAAATTCTATTTCTTTTCACTGTTTACCATTTTAAAGCGTGTCATTATAGCGTGACACTTGGCAGGCATCTCTTCTATTTATTCTCAATTATGTCAGATACCAGCTTAAAACTTACTTAAGCCTAAAGCAGGAGCACAGTATTTAGTTATGTTTATCCAATTACAATAACCAGTTCACCACAAAGATGGTCAGAAGCAAGCTGATTATAACTAGGATTTAGGAGAGAGACACAGCAAGCTTATTTATCTGCTCCCATTATGTCTTTAATTGTGGCCAGAGAATGACTTGTCAACTGCTGTTTGTGGCTTGAGTGGAGAAGCCCTGTCTTTCGATCGAGTGCTCCTGCCTCAAAGACGAAGAGAAATCAGAATAGTGCTTAATACAAAGCCAGAAATTAAGTTTAAATTAATGTTTCCTTTAGCATCAGATTGATGAAGCACAATTGTCTTATTCCCACTAAAAATTAGAGTAAACCTCTGCTTCCACTTCAGCCAGTAAGAAGAGTACCAAGAAAAAGCAGCATGAAGAAAGAGATAAGAACTGTTTCTGGGGCTCTTCCCTTGGAAGGATGGGACAATGCCATTTATCTACGAAAGGAGATACTTCATCTAGTAATACCTTATTCAAAAAAATATCCCCATCCCTCAAGATCCTTTCTGTCCTGAAAGGGGTGAAGATAATGCCAAGTCTGCATGAAGACGAGGACAACCAGGATAAATTCAGGGTAAGTCCACCCAGCAGATCACCAGCAGCCACAGAGTCTGTGCCTGAGCTTTGTGACAAAAAAGAACCCATTAAAACGACGTAAACACCTGCCATGTAGCAAAGTGCATTTAATCCCTGTGCCATGCAGACCTTAGCCATATCAGAGCACAGACCTTCTCCTCATTTGCCTGAAATATCCCAGTCAATTATGACAATATAAAGGACATTTTACCCTTCTTATGAAATCTTACAGAACTTGAAGCACCACTGATATGATTTTACTTCCTTGAGCTATTTTCCACGACCACTGTTTAATAAACACTGCTTCAGGAGGCAGGTAAGGTTCCATAACAGCAATAATTTATCTACAAACAAACCTATATACCTTTTGGAGTTGACTTCAATGAGTGTATTCTAGGTCTCGGTCCTGCTTTCACAGGGGCAGATCCCAGAGTACCATTCTGGCAGGCTGGTTTCGAAGGCCATTCTCCATTCTTGATGATGACCGTGGCATTTGCAGCTGCAACATAGAATGACAAAGAATTTGCTCTAGGCAGTATCTAGTTTGGGGAAAATTAAATCTTAAAACAAGCCTGTTTTACCCAAGGCTAAAGTCAGGGGAAACAAGCGGGAATAAAAATATGATGACCACCTCTGACATCTTCAGTGCCACCTCCACACCCTTCCATCCTTTTTGTGGGACACTAAACATGTGTGAGCCCAACTGCATTCACCAGCTACCAAACAACTTTTAAGGCTCCTGTTGTCTCTGTTCATAACAGTGACTCCCTCAGTGACAGCAGACCTCAGAAGACACCCAACCTCCTCAAAGAGGGAGATGAAGTCATACAGCAAGATGCTCCCTGCAAAAAGGGTCAGACGGACCCAAACTGGGAGAGGCAGGACAATAAGCAATTGTATCTCACATCTAAATCGGGTTCCCAACTAAGAGGGCAGTTGCTACAGAAGACCTTTTGTTCCATTTCAGAAGAACTTGAGAGACCTTATTTGGCTTATTGTCACAATGGAAATTTTTCCTTGGAAAAAAGGAAACCTGAAATTTGGGAAAAGCATTGTTTTATTTTTCCAGAAAAAATATGAAAACAATTCTAAAGTATAGATTGATTACACTTTGGTTCAGCTACTAAAAAATTATGTATACTGACACATTAAAGAATAAGAAATTGACATTGCATTTACCAGAGACAAGCAAAAACCAAGTCACACTGGAATAGTTTGTCACACTTGCTTTTTTTCTCTCGCCATTTAAAGAAAAAAAAAGGGGGGGGCTTCATATAATATCAAGTTTGTCTCAGATTACCTTTAAAAAACATCAGCCTTGTTAAAATGCTAATGTGAATTACATATCTAATATTGTTCACCAAAAGACAAAACATATCCTTGAGATATTTAGTGTCTTTAAACGCATTAGCATAAGCCACAAACTAACTGCTTTAAAGAGATGCTTTTTGGCCCCTAATCAATACATTTTCAACAACAGAAAGAGGGACAGAACTGCTTTCTCTTTTAGAAACACATGCAACTAAAGTCCTCTGTTTGAAAAAACTGGAGCCTCTCTAAGGCACAAAAGCTAAATATTTGCAAAAAAAAAATCTATACATGATGAAAAAACTTGCATAACACATCAATAACATAATTAGGCTGCAGGAATCTGACCCTGATCAGCATCAGATGATTCCAATCGATTTGTTTTAGTAAAGCAAGAGGCCCGAAGCAGTCCTTAAATTTTTCCACAAATCACTATATTAAGGATTTTTGCTCAGGATAACAAGTGCCTACAAACTGCTGAGTGACCTTCTTCTAAATCAAGAGTGTACCACAGAAAAAATAGTTTGGGTGAGTGCACTTCTGCCATGGGACTGGTCAGGGCATTGTTTCTGCCTACGAGAAGCTGTGGAGTCAGGTAACCAGGCTGCACACAGGAAAAAAGGTGGCAAATTTGGCAAGTTTGGCCAATGTATGATTCAAAGACGGTTACTCATAGGGTTAGGAACAGGTACTGCAATCTTGAGCAAAGACAGACAGGTATGAAGTGATCTCACCCCAGACAACTCAACTTATTAAAAGAATTTTAGTGAAGTATCGACTGAAGGAAAAGGCAGCTCCAAGTCAATTGCTCGACCCAACTTTCTAACTTCTGAAACACTATTTCCATTGTATGCAATTATTCTAATGCCATTCAAATTTGGATTCTTGCTTTTAACCTGAGAGTTTAAACATTTCAGTATGTTCAAATGATGTATTTTCAGTTCAGCACTGAAACTGAGGAAATTATTGTTAAAAACTCAATTTTTCAATGCTCCAACTGACAGCTTGCAGTCCAAATATGTTTTTAACACCAACATTTCAAAACTCATTGTTTACAAACTGCTCAAATAGTAAGTCTTCTTAAAGAAAAGAATCATAAAACTCGAGTGCTCATCAGACACACACACACACACCCCCCCCCCAATACTGCCACAGGAAATTACCAGTCCAAGAATATCCCATAACAAAGGGCTGAGCTGACACAGCGGGAGGAATGCTCTCTTTTGTAATTTTTTTTTCCCCTCCCCTAACACAAGGCAAACTCCTTAAGCAAAACAAGCCAAGTGACTTTGTCGATTTAATACTGTTGACAGGACCACAATAGTTCGTCATAAATTTTTTAACACTGACAGCAGAAGCCTCCCATCCTGATCTCTGTGTCCCCCACCAAACTAAAAAACACATTTTAGGTTCACAAGTATGGATTTTTTTCCTGACATTATTGTATAGTAGACTTAATGAAAAAATAAAAAACAAGAACAGCACTGTACTTAAAACATTAGCGTACGAAGTAGATTCACTAGTTCTTTCCAATTTGATATGAAGTCATTAAAACTTCACTACACTAACAAGTGAATCATGTGTAACCTAATTTCATTATACTCACAAAACCTGACCAGACTTCAATCACTCTCATCAAGTGTAACAATTTAACTAAAGAAAAGTCATCTCACGGCAAAATCAGCAAATCAGAGCATTGCATACATTTACCAACCTCCACAAAACAAAAGACATGCTTTTTAAAAAAAAAAAAAGAAAGAAAGATACATGCTTTTTAAAAAAAAAAAAAAAAAAGAAAGAATAAAGGAATTCAACCTACTTCTTTTCCCAGTAAACGTGGCTAACAAAGGAACAATACAAAAGCTGTAGGATCCCACTACCAGCAGTGTCAGTAAGGTAATATCGTAGTGGCTTCCCGAGTCAGTCGGTGGTGTTAGTGTAGAATTGATGAAAATAATAGGAGAAAAATTAGTTTCTGTGCAACTGCGGAGTCCTCCTGGTATAGTCATTTAAAAAGGATCAAAGCAGGCTGAAAGCCAAAGATACTGCAGCCATGTTCAACCTCTCATATTGCTCCCGCTTGCTCTTCGTGAATCGGAGTGGAAAAAAATTGTTAAGCTTCAAGGCAGTGGACAAAAACAGATTAAAGCGGCTAGCAAATCAGGCTAAATAAGGAGTCATCTGTTTGGATACTTAATCTGAATACACTTCTTTGTTATGAAGCGATGACCCTTTCCTTTGTTACATGAGGGAGTATAATGAAGAGAGGACAAAGCTGCTTAGGAATTCCAGATACATCCTAAACCTGAACAGCAAAAGTCAACATGGCTGTCAGGGTAACAGCACCGACCCGGCTACACAGGAACAGGCGCTGCATATTTTATTGCACGTACTCTTATTCCTTTGAGGAATATATTAGGTCTTAGGTTTTTTTCTTTTTCTTTTTTTTTTTTTTTTTAATGAAGGCACTACAGGGAAGAAAAAAAGAGCAAGAGAAAATTTAGTTATATATGAATGCATGCATATGCGCATACATAAACTACAAACGTATGTTAAATCCCAGTTCTCTTTTTCAGTCCATTGAAGGCGGCTTTAAATGACATCTGGCACAAAGGAAAGGCCTTTGCCCAGCCTCCAAGATGTACCAAATGACGCGATGGTAACAGAATATTTGAATGTCCTCATTTGAATACGTGTAGCTGGGAACACCGATATGTCTGACACTCACTCCTGTGTTACTTCCTTCATGTTTTTGCCACTCGAATTCCCACAACTGCTGCTACAGACCCTTCTGTAGAGCTTCAAATCAAAGCTAGTTCTCTTATTTTTCTCCCTAGTTTTAATCAAGATAGATTTGGTTCAGGTCATACAGTTACCTTAGAAATTACAGAAGTCTACCCATGCAAAGTTTTACCTTCTAAAAGCAGTTTCACTTACCTCCTTTTGATCTCATCTACACGTTTTGTCTTAAAACTCAAAGCAGACACGTTCTAGTTCAAAAAAAGCCTTTAGTATCAAAAATCTGTAATGTGCTGCTCCAGCTACTACAATATGTTATCCGTTCACATCATTCAAACTTATTTCCTACTACACATGTAATATGTAAACACAAGGAAACTGCTGCTCAAGAAGACCCGCTGGTTTTGTGGTGTTTCAGGATGGAAGAGGAGCTGTACTGAAACCTCTACTCATCAAACCACAATCCAAGGCTTAAAGCTCCTTCGTGTGCCATGTCTCAAGAAGGAAAGTTGTAAGTAAAGAGGCAAAAAGCCCTAGAACTAATAGTAAGTTGTACAATGAGAATTAACACAGACTTTTGTCAGACAGGAGGCAGACAGTTGATGCTGACTGTCAGTTAACACCCGTAACCCTGGCAGATACTTACAATTACTGCTGAGAAGACTCCGCTCGCTCTGGGTGCTGCTGACCGAGGAGATGCTGGGGGTCCTCTCAAGCCCTAACCTTTTGACAGGCACTTTGGATTTGGTGAGCAATTTACCGGGGGTAGCCCAGGAGGCTGGAGAATTTTTCACGGAGGCTTGCTTCTCTCTTGGCAAAGATGCTGTACCTGTCAGTTGCAGGGGGGAAAGGGGAGGGAGGGAAAAGAATAAAGGAGTTGGAAATAAGTTTAAATAATTGCTTCTGCTATGTATGTGCCTACAAGTAAAAAGATTTACACATTAAAAATACACATAAAAGGCTTAATCTACCTCACATTAACATGGTAAAAAATCCTGTAAATGCAGAAAACCAGTTGGAAGGATTTAAAGGATCCCGTTTTACTGCATATTGACCTCAGGAACAAGTCACAAGTGTTACAGACTGGCCTTCAAGAAAGACATCCGCACACACAAAAGGCCTTTCTTGTACTTTTCCACCTCTACGTATTAGTTATCTGTACTGTCAATCCCATAAAAATTATAACATCCAGCTCAAAGACAATCCAAGAAACATTATTTTGTTTATTCTCCCCCCATCCACACACAGATCTCCCCCCTAATTTGCACTTTAAAAGATAATATCCTTTCAAGGACAAACACAGCATGAGAGTATCAAATTGTGTTGTACTCAGATAATACACCAAAAACTGACTAGTTCTGTAGAACTAGTTAAACAGCACTCCCCAGAACCAAGTTCCTAATGGCCAACTGGGATAGACACATTTTTGCATTAATTGGTGTTTTCATTTGAGCTTGTTGAATACAAACGCCCAATAGCTAAATTAATCCAACAGAAAGAGCATCCATACAGGGGACAGGTGTGCCACCCTCAGACCAAAGCTTACTCTTGCACTACTAACAAAGCCAACTACATTTTCCGCAAGAAAATTTGAGATTAAATTAAGCTTTTAGTTTATTTCTGAAAAGCGTGCACCCAGATGAAAACTACAGTGGCACAAAAGAAATTAGGTACACACAGACTTGTCTTGCCAGCGCTGGGTTGACTCCTGTCAGCTCTGATTCAAGATCTTTATACTACGGCATAACTATGAAAAAGAGGTTTTCTATTTGGTAAAAAACAACCAAACAAAAACAGAATTATGGGAAACAGATCTGCATATGCCTTTTCTAAATATTTTTTTTATTATAATAAAATATATTTTACAATATATCTCAACTTCTGAAGTCATTACCATTTTCAACTCTGACTGACATAGTTTATCTTACTTGAAGTGTTTCAGATTTGACTTAGAACAATCAAGTTTCTATTTAAAGGGAATACTGTTGCCTTTATTTTTGTTACCATAAACCACATTTCAATTTTGCTTAAGCTATGCAAGAGGCTACTGAAATATTACAAAATCAGCTAGTAATGTCACTTTATTCAACATTGGCTTTGCTGCAGGATCTCCACTCTTAAACACCAATGACCAAGAAACCATCAATTTGCACTAAACCAGCATGATATTAAGGGGATTACATTAAGATTTAGGCAAGACAGACATTTAAGCTCAATGTCTGCTTTTCAACAGTAGGTGGTGTGACAGGACTAGGTAACTTGTCTCAAAGTATTCCACTTCAAGTACACAAAACTGGCAAGAGCACTAGTAAAGGAACATCCAAGCTATTTCCCTCAGTTCAGATCAACTCAGTAACAAAAGAGAAACCCTACATACAACATATATTAAACATACATTAGGATACTAGAAAGTACAGGTCACGAAATAAGTTTGATATCACATTTGACGTCAGATGTCTCTTCAGAGGCGCAGAACTGTGATTCTGTCTACAGCTCTACCATAGGTTGGTATTAAATCTGAGACAAAAAATCAGTCATGTTTTAGAATATTTGGCAAGTTACTGCAATGGACACTTGGATATCTTCAACTCACTAAAGAGCATCCAGCCTTCACTGTGCTATGAGAAACACCATAAACCACAAACACACACTTACTGAAAACATTTCTAAAACACAGCGCTCCAGACCATGTATCTGAAATTGTTTGTGTGTTTGGGGGAAAAAAAAAAACAACTTCTATGACATCTAAACTTCATATAGCAAGTCTGACAGCTCTCTCTAAAACTTTCCACATTGTTTTCTAAAAGCTCATTTCATTAATGGATCAACATTCCAGAACAGTAATTAATCCAAACGAGTCAGAAATTCCTTTTTCTAAACAGCCTCTCAGCAAGACAAGGTGCAAAAACCCAACCAGCCCGCTCCCCCAAAAACAAACAAACATAAAGGGGCTGCTGTGCAAACAAATGCATGTTAAGTTTGTATGACTAAGGTAAAGGTTTATATTTCAACAGGCAGCCAGAGGAACAAACGCCGCTTATCAGCTGCATTTTATTGTTTAAAGATGAGGGCAGCACGCTTGGGTGCCACTGTGCTGGACTCGTTCATCCAGTTCAAGAGGTACAGGAATAAAATCCTGTTTTCTTCACAGTGATTTTCTCTTCAGAGGGATCAAGGCGAGCGTGTGAAACAGCAGGTTCCCTAGAGATGATTTGCAGCAGTGCCCTAAACCAGCTGTGAAGTCAAACCCACTCGGGGCACACAGCAAGCTCCAGGATGTCCAGGGTTCTTTCCTTAGTTCTTTCACTGCTCAGTGTTTTCCTATAAGGCTGCCATTAAAATAATTACTCAAGCACTTAAAAGCATTTTTTTTCAAAAGCCCAGCTCGAGGGAGAATTTCTTTTAATCCATGACACAGGATCATGCAGCAACTACTCTAGGTGTTACTTCAACTAACAACAATGGTTTTATAAAGTTTTTTTATAACTGCCATTCCCTAAGAAATGAGTAGCACAGTATTAAATCCACAGGTTTTGAAGACAGAAGCAGGAAGATGTGATATATAAATAAGAGTACTGGAAACACGAAAGCAGGATATTTAGTGAACCATTATTATAAAGACAACAAGCAACAGCGTCAAAGTAAGCGGCTTTCATCAGTTATTTAATCTAGTCACTCAAGTGGAATACTAGAAATATCACATTCCTCTACAGTGAAGTAACGACTTGGCAATTCTTTAGAAAAAAAGTCTCTGTGCAACAACGACATTACTTCAAGTACGTTAAAGTATCTCTTGTATTGGTATGGAAATAAGCAAGGAAGAAAACTCATTTTTCGAGAAGCTCTGAAGTCCAATTTCATATCCTTACACAAATAATCAACCTCTTGTATGAATCTCTCATAGTGGTAATTGTTAAGAATAAATTAAGTCTTCCTTTAAATAGCACCAGAGACTAAAAGATGTTTGTTCTCTCAATTTGAATATGTTAGCAGTGGTGAACTTGGGACTTGGTGGACACCAGGCAGACTGTAAAGCTGAATCTGTATTCACCAAATCTTAGATTCAACGTCCAACGTATCAAACCGGATCAACACATTTCACATCTAGAACTGAGCAGAGAGCAAAGGGGCATCCACCCAGCTGTACAACACCTGGAAATGAATGGTTGGAAGCCTTTCCCAAAGAGAAACGTAGGGCAGACTAAGGGCAAAAGGAGTCTTTGGGAGGATGTTTTTGTTTAACCCGAAAGCGAACAGCAATAGTCGGTTTGACCTTTCATTGCCTTCTCTCTTTAATATGTTGAATTTTGGATTTTTGCTGTATGCTTTTCTCATTTTTCCTGCAAGTTTAAAAATCCAGAGGGCTGTCTTTTAGAACTGCTAAACTCCTTAGCTTTTAAAAAAAAAGTAATTTTATTTATGATGAAAAAATCCAGTCTAAGCCTACAGTACAAGGTCTTTCTAAAGCAAGGGGAGTAAACCTTCAAGAAAACAGGCTATTTTTCGGCACCTATTGAAAGGAGCAAGTGAAGTATGGAAAAACAAACTGGACTTTGGTATTGTTTCCAGCAGACTGATCTTAGCATACTTGTAAGAGTGTTTAAGGTTGCTATTAAGAGCACTGTAAAGCAGTAGCAATAGTAACAGGTTTCAAGCTCCCCAAGTTGCCTGATTAGCCATTCAGAAATATTAGCTATACTTTATTATGATATATATATATATGAAGAGAAAAAAAAATAAAAAATATATATGTATCAGTGTTCCTTCAAGGAACAAAGAGTGGTTACAGCACATTTCATAATTCTACCGAAGATCTACAGATAATCTCTTTCTAGTTATCTCTCCCTTTTGAAGTCTCAAATTACTACCAATTTTATCAAGAAAAAGCAGAGCACACTATGTTGCTAGTAATGCCTCAGCTGCTAAGCATGAGCATGGACAAAGACAGGGAATGTTATATTACCACTGGATCTTGAAATATTTATGTGAAAGATTGTTTAGAGGATAACAGCTGATCAGAGAACAGTTTAGGCAACAGTTAAGGCAAGACCCAGTTTCCCATGTGATGCAGAGTTCCACAGCATTATTCCCATTCCCCTACAATCCTCAGGAAAGTGCTCCTCTTTGGCACAGGTACCAAGGAACCAGCAGCAAGTTAGTGCCAAAAACGTAACCATGTTGCCAGCAGCCATGTGGGCAGGTATTTGTGTTTTCCTCCTCCTCAATATTCTCAGACTAAAACTGGAAAAACAATCTTCAGTGATACAGAGCATTTAACAGCCACCAAATCATCCCTTCTCATTCTCCAAACATTCCCACTATCAGAAGAGCAGTTGGGTCTTCCCCATTAGAGTGAAAGAGAGGTAGAGAATAACATTCATGTACGTCTGCTGTTAAAATTTCCTTTTTTTTCCCATTCCTATTTTGCGAATTTTGAGAATTTTTCCATAGAATCATAGAAAGGTTAGAGTTGGAAGGGACCTTAAAGATCACATAGTTCCAAACCACTTCCATGGGCAGGGACACCTCCCACCAGACCAGGTTGCTCAAAGCCCCATCCAGCCTGGCCTTGAACACCTCTAGGGATGGGGCAATGATAGTTGTAGCTTTTAGACCCACGTTATCTATAAATATTTTAAGTTTTCTGCTGCAGGAGTTGGCGCATTCCTTGCATGAAGAAGGAACCTCCCTGTTAAGATAAAAACAATTCTCTTCATAAAGAAGATTACTATTTCTCTCCTCCTTTACCTCCATGCTGAGAGAATTCAGAACTAACCAGTACAGGTGAAGAGTTATTTGAAGACACAGCAGCATGTCCTTGCAAGTAAA